AGCATTATTCAATGTCTCTATGTCATTCTTTCCTACCAATTCTGACTGGGCCTCAGAATCCTTAGCACAATGCACTAGACATGATGTACCAAGTGATCAGAGAAACATGAGTTAGAACCTCAGTTTCAATAGATTTGTGAGGTTTAAGGGAGAGATGTTTAAGACAGAGTGGAAAAAGAAATTTTGAAGCCACGTGCTTTCTCTATGATTGCTAGTATTAACTGAATGCTTATCATCAGCCTAAAATGTATTGACTCATTTAATCCTCACAAAAACTCAATGTAGAAGATATTAGTGTTTTGTTTTTCACCTGTAGAATTGGGATAATGAGGTCCAAAAAGGTTAAGAAACTTGGTGAAGAGTATACAGCTATTGTCAGAGCTGGGATTTACCCAATACTTCTGGCTATAGATGCTATACTCTGAACCATTGGCATGAACAGAACTCAGAGATAAATACTATAGAGAGACTAGGGAGAGACTAAAATCATTGAAATGAAGAAAAAAAGAATATAAAAGGGTATGTGGGAAAAGAAAAAGATCCATATTTATAATTTTTGATAGAATTATAGATAGCTGTGTTTTGAAAAATGTCTTTGAGCATATATACAATTACATATATATGTGTTCTTTGGCTATCCATTGTATATCATGGCAGACTTTATATATATATATGTGTGTGTGTGTGTGTGTGTGTGTATGTATACATTTTTCCCAATGTTAACAAAGAGTAGCAACAACAGGACATGTTAACATTTTTCAAAATATAAGAAGACACTTTACAATTTGACCTTTTCCAATGATTCTGGTGAAAGTCCATTTTCTGAAGAAGAGTGAAGGGTAAATGTCACACGGCTGAATCACAGACTACTAAAAAGGTTTAAAGCGTTGCCACAGTTCTTTTAGCCTGAGACATAATAAGTAAACTTACTTTATTATGAAAAAATTGTTCCTATGGTGGTATAAGAGTATCTTTTCATAGACAATAATTAGCACAAAAATGCAGGGACGTGAAATTCCAAACTCACTTCCTGAATGTCAGCATCAAGGTTTTCTTTCATTATTTAGGGGGAAAAAAAGTGTGCTTTCGATGCATTTGCGAGAGGATGTACCTCTCTGTCAACTTTTGATACACTGCTCCTACAGTTTATCAATGTACAATGATGAAAGCCTTGTGACTTCCAGGGTGGACATTAGAAAAAGGTTAAAAATTCATTCGATTCTATACAAACCAGTTGTTATTATCTGAATACTTGTGTCCTCCCCGAGTTTATATGTAGAAATCCTAACCCCCAATGTGATGGCATTTGAAGATGGGGCCTTTGGGAGGTGATTATATCATGGGGCCACAGCTCTCATGAATGGGATTAGTGCCCTTATGAAAAAGGCCCTAGAGGACTCACTTGCCCCTTCCTTCATGTGAGACACGGCAAGTGGACACTATCAAAAACCAGAAAGTGAGCCCTTATCAGACACTAAATCTGCCAGCACCTTGATCTTGGATTTCTCAGCCTGCAGAAGAGTGAGAAATAAATTTCTGCTGTTTATAAGCTATCCAATATGGTATTTTATTTTAGCAGCCCAAATAGACTAGAATATCCATCTTTCTTCTGCTTTTTCTTCAGTGTTCCAAGTAACATTATACTTACGAAGTATTACAGTCATTATGAATATATGATCTTCTTAGTAGATAAAATTACCTTTGCCATTGAATAAAGTGCCTTTTGATATGTAATTTTCATGAAATTTTGAAAAATATGAGCCACTATATCTGTGATCCACTTATATTGGATAAATTGATTATCCATCAAATGGCACTAATATTAGAAAAAGAAATGATCATACAGTCAGTCAGTGTCTCTAGCTATTTACTCAGCTACACAAAAATCTCTAATTTAAAATGAAATATTTTTGATAGGTCTTATCATTAAATCCATCCCAGGAAAGCGTTTTTGAAAAGCGCTTCTGGTAACTTTGATAGCTGTAGCTATGAACACAGAGTAAGGAAGAAAATTCAAGCAATCATTCCAAGATTCATGAAAAGAAGAAATGAATTTGCTTTAATTACCAGGTCTTTGAGAGAGTCTCTGCTGTGTCTCTCACCTCAGCTAGCCACATACAGAAGACTTGGACTAGCATTCCGTGTTTTGTACAATAACAGATAACAGCTGAAGTTTCAGCTTCCATCATTTTAGGGTTCTGGGCTGCACTACTGCACAACCTTGGTTTAACTTGGAAACATGTGCTGTCTACATCAAAGGGCAGAGACTTTAAAGTGTAGGAATTCATATCTAGCACCATTCATCAGATCTACCAGGATGACTGGCATGACGCTCACAAACCCTGCTTGGCACACAGTGATGAAGGAGGGTTTCAGAGCCAAGAGGGAGATGATATTTATGTGTTCAAATCAGAACTGATGCGGGGCATGCTTAGAACGTACCACCTGGAGGAACATCATCTGTGTCTGGGGCTCTTCCTTGGTCTGAAGCTGGTAATCAATCCTGACAGTGATTTCAGTAGGGGACTGGCTGGCAGGCAAATACTGACATATAGTCTCTCCATTTTAATTGAAAGTTCAGTTTGTTTTCACTATTCACATGGCAGTAAAATTCTTTCATACCGAAACAGTCCTGGAAGGGTGGGAAAGACCGTCCAAATAAAGTGAAAACATTTGCTCCTGAGTCAATCCATTCTCCTCACTGACTCATAGCCATTGCATTTACTATTGCTTGCCGAAGAACTCCCTAAGTGTCCCACACTCATGGCCAGCTCTTGGTTTTGCTCATACTGTCCCTGCCAAGAAATATACATCTCCATCTTTTACTCTTTTTTTATAACTATGACAGGGTTCAGGACATGCTACTCGAAAATATGGCACCCTGGCATATTGAATATTTTGAGCTGAAGGAATTCAAGAAACAGCAGAAGCAGGAAGGTTATTCTCACCTTCCCCTCATCCTTCTCTCCTGAAGCAGGTTTCCCTTTCTAGGGAAAATTCTTTCCAGGGAAAACTTAATGATCTTCCACTGAAGCAGGTCATGAGACCCTCATTCCAGAAGTGTCCTTCCTATACATGGAAAACAGGAACCTCCTTATCTCTGAAGACACGGGGTCACAGATAAGACACACACACACACGCTTCACATCTCTCAAAGCTCCAGGCCTTGTTGGCTTACCGACTGTAAATAGATTTCTGTACCCTGTATTTAATCACATACTTAATCACATCAGTGGTTTTTCAAAGATACTCAACTTTACTCAGACCCCTAAAGGGATTGTTAGAGATAGCTCATAAATGATTAAAAGAATAAAAGACTCTTGTTATAGAACCAAATAGTAAGAGAAGAATTTGAACAGGCCTTGCTAAGTTCCCACCACTTCAGTACCATTACATAATACCACCCCCCCCCCCGTCCAAATTCTACTTTTTGTCAAACAACATAAAAATACATAAGTTTAAGGGTTTCTTTGAGTCCTCATTTCTGAAGGCTCATGTGTCACATAAAACACAGTAAATAAATTTGTACGCTTTTCTTTGGTTAACCTGTCTTTGGTTATAGAGGCCTCAGTCATGAACATAGGATGAGTGAGAGATATTTCTCCTCCCCTATATCTACAATCCTTTTGAAACCAAATCCTCTCTTAACCCACAGCCTTCTTTGCCTAATGCTCATTTTTCCCTAGACTGGACATATAACAGAAGCTAGGGTGTTCAGGTACCACGTATTCTTCCTCACCTAGAAACTTAAATATAAGCTACACAATGAGACGACCGCTCTTCCATAGGGCTCATCAAGACCTACAATGAATGCGAGGCAGGCATAGTGTTCATTTCTGGCTTTGACACTCCATGTGTAAGTTACCTAGCCTCTAACTCCCTCAGTTGTCTCCTTTCCAAAATGAGAAATGTGATAGCATTTACCTCATATAGTCATTGTAAGCATTAAGTTAGATTACATTTGATAATTCATAGAAAATATTTAACATTTCTCATACTTGTATCAAGGCCCATTACCCCATTTGGTTGCAAGTACCTTGAGTTCATTTTCTTCTCCTTTCAATCCCTGGTAGTTTTAAGCAGACAGCAGTTTCTGTTAATTTCTTCGATATGCCTCATAAAATCATACTGAGTTTGTGCTATTTCTCAGTTTCAGAGTAATAAGAGCAGCAGAGAGGAAACCCAGGCATTGATGGACAAAAACGAGGACTTTGTTCTATTCGTTGATGGTGAATCTGTGGTGAGACGGTGAAGAGTGGGCAGGGCTCAGCCCTTGGGGAGCAGCTGTGTGGTCACAGAGAAAAGCAGCGCTGCTTCATCCTCCTCATGGGTGCATGAGCCTCCAGAAAGCATCCACTAGGAGGGGAGAAATAGGATGGAGAGAGCAACTGGGATAAAAACGTTTCAACTTATCATCTTAGTTTCAAAGATGAAGACGACTGCGACGTGAAGGTAGGATTTAAAACCAGTGGTCTTGAGACTTTTCCCAGGCTTATGACCACCTTTTGGCAATGTGCCTGTAATTAAGCTCTTGTCAGAATTTTAAAAGATTTCTTAAAATACGTTTAATTTCCTTTTTCATCTTCCAACTTAGAAGAAATGCCAATTATTCTAAGTTGGAAGATGAAATTCGAAGAGATGTCAATTAAGTTGCACTTTGATGAAAATCTGACTTTAGGACATTAATTTGAACCATAGGAGCCACCAGGAGGGTAGTGCCTTTTGCTGAGGAACCCACAGTCGTGCCTGTTGAGTTTCCCAAAACTTATATCTTGTCAAGTCAATCCAACTTAGAAGACACTGAGGAATCTGAATATCTTTTCTTGAGTCTTCTGGAGTCAAGCCCATGTGCTGTCATAGAGCATCCTTGGGATGAAGGTCCATCTCTTGCATGGCACAACACACACTTTTTGTGGATGTTAGACTATTTTAATTTGCTGATAGTGCATTTAGTATGAGGTTGACTTTTTACAACTGCTGATTCAAATATTGTCACAAAATATTTGAAAATTGATCTTTATGTATCACCAAGTAACTTTTCCATAAGTAACATCCACAAATACAAAATCACTGGATATAAATTTTCAGCCGTATTTTCTGATCTGCTTACATAACTATTCTTTGATTTAAATTAAGCCAAAGTCGGAGCTAAAACAGATTTTCTGCGACCATTTCATCTTTAAGATGAAGTTAAAGATCTGCATTTGAAATCTCCTGTTATTGAATTGGTAGTAGCATTTCCAGTTTATGTCCATCATCCTCTGAATGCCAATGGTCTCTGAGTAAACATACGAACCTTCATCTCTTTTAGTTGTTTAAGACACCACTTCACATGATCAGTAAATAACAACAACCACCTCTTGATAAATGCACATGAATGTAAATTCCTGTTTTATATATTTGGGTAGGATAGAACATATTGAAAATAACAGATAAGTATTTACAAATTCCCACTTTATTTTTCCCCTTTACATTCAATGGCTAAGTGTGGGAATTCATCTGTAAATGCCCCCAGAAATGGCACAAAATTGTGCTATAATGGAACCAAATAACCACAATGTTTGGGGTTTTGATTTTTCTCCAATAAAACGTACTTATTTAGACAGTAATTTTTTAGTCACAATAAAAATTTATAACATAAAGAGCTTTTGTGTGCCCACATTAGCCACAAAATAAATAGGGCAATTACTTTATGTATGTGTGTACACATTTATATGTATACACACATATTTATGTATGTATGTGTGTGTGTACACACACACACAACTGGATCATGTTTCCAGGGTTCAGTGGAGGAAAAACTTTTTTCATTGTTAAGTGTAATGTTTTCAAATAGATGAATCAGGAAATTTTACATAGATATAAGCCCATTTTGTATGAACAGTATCAGTCATGTGCTTTGAGGGGTAAGTAGGGTAAATGGTGGTTAAACAGCATTCTAAAGAAAGGACTAAAGCATTCTAAAGGCCCATGGATGACTCTTTCCAAAATTTCAGAGCTGGGAGTCCCCAGCAGGGGATCCACAGAGCAGGGGAAAAGGAACCTGAAATAACCTTCAGAGGAAAAACTGCATGGGGAATAACGTAGGTCAGCCCCTGTCTGCTGGGACCCATTTTCAGGCAGACACTACATGGCAATGACATCATCACAACAGTTATATCCAAGAAAGCAGTTTATAAAACAAGCACCAAACAACTGGACATAATTTTCATCATAATCTACAGCCTTTACCCTGAACAGTGGAGTTTAATCACCAAAAAAATTAGATGCTAGGGTTCCAGAAGATAGGATGGCCCAAGGTATCATTTAACTTCTTCTTGTTTAAAAGGTGGGCACATTGGCACTTAAGAAAATAAATCAGAAAATAATATGGCTTCAAGTGGACAAATAAATATGAATTTCTAAGGAAGTCTTTGCATTATCTATTTAAGGAAGTCTTTGCATTATCTATTGGTTTCCTCTTGATTTGGTTCCATGGATAATTTCTCTCCAAGTTCTCTAATAAGTTCCGCTAGGTCTTCTGTATTCTGGGATTTTTCTTCAAGGAGTTCATAGCGGAGACTCGAGATGTCCTGCTTAATTTCCTTCAGTTCCCCTTTGAAAGCAAGAGTGATAAGAAGTCAACTATAAATACTCACTGCAGTGACTCACTAGTGACTGTGGGACAGGGGGAAATCAGCTCTAGTTTCACACACAATTTTATTTTGAATTCTTTGCAAGGAAATAACTTCCTAATGAAGCAAGTTTTTGTTTTCTAAGCTCAGTGTTTTGGTGAATGAAGAGATTATAGCAGAAGGATAACAAAAGCCCTCAAGTAAGTTAAAACGAAATGGTGGTGAATCATTCAGGGGTTGAGGCAGCAGCCCCTTCCTTGCCTTTCCCACCCACTTCCTCCTCCTTCCAAGTCCACCATAAGAATGAGAGCTTTTTATCTAGCAAGGGGTACCTGTCCCCGCCTGTAGAGAAATAGCCTATTCCCCACTCTTTAACAGAATGGTGGCTGGTGAGATCCTGTTCTACTTTGCCCCTTCCTTGAAGTTCACTCTCCCCATGCCCATCTCTGCAGCTCTCCTGCCACTCTGCATCAGGCTCCCGTCCTGACTCACATTCAGGGGCTGATTTGCTTCTGTGTTCAACTCACCTTCGTTCACTTCGTCACTCTCCTTATCTATCTGGGCCTGCAGTACATATCTTTTAATGAGCCTTTTCATTATTTTCTAGAAAACAGAGAAAGGAGAAATCTATGTCAGTTTCAGGTTCATGACAAATCTCTCATTTGGAACAAGTTTCAGAGTCCTCGTCCCTGTAGTGAGCCCTTTGGAAGTGATGGCTGTCAAAGACTAAGATGTTTCAGCCGGGATGCATGCGATCGCCACATTTTGCTTTCCTTTTTAAAACAGTCTTCACATCACCTGGGCTAATGACTCAAAAGTGAGTTCTTAGCAAAGAATGTTTAGAGCAAGTATGTAAGCCTTTATGTCCATTGTCTGTATTTTACTTGAAAAGTATTGGAGCAAGACAGTCTTTCAGTAGGGTAGGTAAAAGATATACACTACTGCTCATGGAAATGGGGGATTAAGCTAAGGTCTACTCATTGGAGCCCCACGTCTGACCCACCAAAAAATGGAACCACTTTTTATTTTAAACTTTCTATTAATTTGGGAATGGCTAGTTTCAATGTAATACATTTTTCAAGTACCTGGGCTTCTATCATGCAAACATTGCTTTTACTATATATTTTTCATAAAAAGAAGGCGTCTTAGTGGGTGCTCAGAAAGTCCTGATGGTTTTAGAACTAAACAAAATTTTACACCTAAGCCAAGGTTAAATGATAGATAGTAAAACTCTACCTTCAAGAATCTATTCTAAAGATATGGTTTAGTACATTAACAAGTATGTTCATAGAACTAGTTATATAACAGACAAAAATGAAACTTTAAATGTCCATCAATAAGGAATTATTTTTAGTAAATTATATATTTGTATAAGGGAATATGATAATTCACTGAAATTAATAGGAATATATATTTTGTGGAGAGAAAATCATAAGCTAAAAATGATTACTCATTATATAAGTACAATTAACTCATATAGTATTATATATATGCATTTTATAATATTAAAATATATGTAAAATTATGCACATCTAGACATATAATCAGCTGGCAGAATTTTCACCAAAAACAAGCAGTCTTTGTTTCTCACTGGTGGAATCTGAAATGAATTTTACTCTCTTATGTTTTTTGTAAAGTTTGCCTTTTTCAGTGAACACGGAGACTCTCAGATCTGTGATTCCAAGACTTTATTTTTTTAACTTATATATCTCTATCACTTACAAAATGCCTGGTACTGGTAATTAATAAATATTTGTTGAATTAATGCATTATTTGATATTGAGAAAAATATCCTAATACTTTAAAGAATCACATAGTTCAAGAATCTAAATATTGCAAATAACTAGTCTTGTTCCTTTAAAAATCCATGCTTACCTGATACTGTCTTGGAGGATTATTGAAACTATTGAAACGGAAATCTTCTGAGCTCCTTACACTTGGTTGCTTATTGTACCCAACCTGTAATTTGAAAAGATTTAGAAATGGATTCCTACATTTTCTTTCAAATAATATAATGAAATTAGTTATCTAATGAACTAAGAGTCTCATACACACAAATTATCTGTATGTATAGTGCCATTTATTGTGCTTAATATTCTGTCTTCCAAGACAAATCAGTGACATTTTAGGTGTGTTAGGTTAATGGCTATTAGAGGTTGTCTGAGGAGTCTCTTAGACTTTGTGGCTGCCAATCACGCTGTCATGAGAATCACGCTTTAACCTTCTCACAGAGACATCCATGGTAGTCAAAGAGCCAAACAAATTGAGGAAATAATGGTGGTAATCTCAGAAGTCCATTGATGAGGGATCAACAGTGTCACCTGATTACCTAAGACATCCACACCTGCAGCAGGGTCTGATGTGGATCCTGCAGAAACACCAGGGTAAGACTGTGGTGGAACAGAATTCAGTTGCGAAAAAAGCTCTAATTAATGTTTGAATTTTAGATACTGAATACAATCCCATTTGGGCAGCACTTTTCAAATGAAAATACATGCACCCAAATAGGCAAATAACAAAAAATTAAAGCAATCTGCAATAAAGGTGGTAGCATACCATATTAACATGCTAAGAGGATGAATTAAAACCTCTTTAATGCATTTTCTAAAGGAAAAAAAAAACACTGGTTTTACAAAGAAATAGGTAGAAGAACTGAAGCAAAACAAGCAGCTCTAAATTTGCATGTTTATGATACACAACTGTTTCCTAGGGGAAGAGACACCTCGAGATTGTCTTCAAAGATACACAGTGATTCATATTTCCTGGTGATATCTATGTTGTTGTAAGTAAAGCTCAATGAGACTGAATTAAAATCCTTGCATTAACTTCAGTGCTTTGCTTTGATACCTTAAATAGCCACATACTGAATTAAAACAGCTACTCAGACATTCATCTATTGAACAAGTATATATCGAGGGTCCTCAAAATGTAAGCTGCTGTGCTAGGCTCTGTGTATAAATGAACATAAGCAATTATGGTGTAGCTGAGTTATGGTAATAGCTCAATTATGAAAAATATGACAAGATTGATAAGATTAATAATAAACAATATATAAATTTGAAAATAATTTAGATAGCATCATTTTTCATGTATCTATTTCCTTTTTCCTTCACTCTAAAAATGTCTGTGTCCATATATTTTTACTTATACTGAATTTTAAAATCACTCTGATAAATTATATAATTCATCAAATTAACCAAAGAGAGGCAGTTTAGGTTCTCAAAAAGAGCACTTGATGGGAACCTGAAAGATAAATGCCATCCGGCTTTGCCACAAGCTAGCCATGGAACAGTAGGCAAGATGCTTCAATGTTCTATAACCTTGTCTGACAATGAAGGAAGTGGTCTAGCTAGCTTCTATCATTCAAGCCCCACCAATTTATAAATTTGTGAAATGCATAAAAACTTCCACATAACATTTTAAATAATATAATGGGAACCCTGGTTTGAAACTATGATTTATGCCTTAAGAATATCATAAAAGGTGAGGACCAGTGTGAAGCTCCCATTAAGCCCATTATGATAAAGTGTGCAGGTGAGGACAGGCTCATAACCATCATGTCTCTGATTTATTTACCATCTATTCATCAACTCACCATTGACATTTTTGGCTAGATAATTCTTCAGTGTGGGTGGTCTCCTGTGCATTATGGAATGCTTAGCAGCATCCCTGGCCCCTCATCTATGGATTAGATGCCAATCACAGCTCCCACCACACCCCATTGTGACAACCAAAAATATCTGCAGGTATTATCAAATGCACTAGATTGGGGTGGAGGGCACAATCACCCATGGCACAGTTAAATGGTATGAAACTAAATATCTATAAATTCACATGGAGCATTTTTATGTGACTAGTTTTTTTTCTAAGTATGAAATACCAAGTTTTGGATGCATATATAACATATTTTATTTTCAGAAAAAAATTCGAGTCAGTTTCTAATACATCATAGAAATTCGGTAAATGTTTCTTAAAAAACGGAATGGTACAGAGAAGAGTAAACCTATCCAATGGTGCAAGGAAGTATTATTACCACTTGGTGGCAGAAAATCCTAATAGACAATTATTTAATGTCTGGAAATCCAAGTCTGCAACACTTTTATACATAAAAGAAAATTCAATTTGAAAATTGAATAGTATTTAAAGCTTAAGGATTTGGGTATTTATAGATGGTGCCAACATGTATACTGCCACAGAGGCTGGAAGTGGGAAGCTTGTTGACTATAAGCAAGGACTGGATGCACGTTTTGTTCCTAATATGCAAATAAATACTCTCTCCAATTCTGAATGAACCATTGCCTGCCCCCTTTGTTAATACCTTCTACCACATTTTATGCATTCTTTATTCATTTTCTTTTTCATTTCCTAATAATTAGTTTGGTATTAACATTTCTCATCTTGTAGGTTCATTGTAGGATTAGAGTGAGCGACACTAATAATTTGTTTCTAATTCATTAAAAAGAACAAGTAATCTTAAGTCTTTAAAGTTTCTTATGTTGCTGGATATAGGAAGAGTTCATGGAGTCACCTATTTCCCACAAGCATTAAATGTCCTGCAGCCAGGAACAGAGCAATGAACTGAAAAGGTATGGACAATATATTCAGTCAGCAGTGAATGTAGATATGAAATGAAGCTGTGTTATACAGGGCTTATAAACATACTGCTCTGAATCAAGTGGATGTTGTTTCAAATTCAGGCTCTGTCACTTGTTTGAAATGGGACTGTAGGCAAATCATTTCACCTCTATATCCTTAGGATCCTCAGATATAGAACAGGGAAAATAGTATTACCCACCTCCCAGAGCTATTACAAGAATTAAAGAGATGAGGTATAGAGAATATATAGCTTGAAATACACTGGACATTCTATAACTGTCAATAGCTATTATTTTGAAGAAAGATAAATATCTACTATGTGGCTTTAGGTCTATTTCATGGTTAACTTTAATCTACACATACCCCTTTACTTATGATGGGGTTATGTCCTGATAAATCCATTGTAAGTAAGGTGAAAATGCACTGAATACACCTAACTACTGAACATCATAACTTAGCCTAGCTGACCTTAACCATACTCAGAGCACTTTCCTTAGCTTACAGTTGGACAAAAGCATCTAGCACAACACCTATTTTATATTAAAGTTATTACACAAAATTTGAATCAACAGTCAAACTTTGAAGTACAGTTTCTACTGAACACATATTGCTTTCACACCATCATAAAGTTGAAAAATCATTAAGTTGAACTATGGTAAGTCTGGGACTGTCTGTAGTCAATTCATCCTAGAGATATTTTGCCAAATATTACTTTTTACTGATGTGCCCAAGTCCATGACTAAGTCCTTCAGGGAATGAACAGTGATTCCCACATTCAGATGAGCATTAAAATCTCCTAAGCTCTACCCTACATGGTTTAAACACCTACCCTAAGACGACAACTGGAATGTGATCTGTTCAGAAGTTGGAACAGGGCAGTTATTCAAGAAGTTATCTGGCATTTTCAGGTTTACACATGTAATAGACTATGGAAGAGATCAACTTTTAATTTATGCTATCCTTTCAGACTGTATATCTGAAAAGCTAATGCTAGCAACCACCACACTCAATGACCTTTAGAATTAAAGGATATGATTGAAGATAATGAATAGGTCTGCTTATTATATGAAAAGCTAATGCTAGCAACCACCAAAGTCAGTGACCTTTAGAGTTAAAGGATACAGTCAGAGATAATGAATAGGTCTGCTTACCTTGTTTCAAAATGTATTTTTATATATGGTTCATCCTACTTATATCTGTGGTGCACCTGGAGCAGTGTTTGTGCAGCTAACTAAGTACTTTAAAATTCAAGAGGTCAGAGAGAGAAGACTTGAGTGAATCAGAAATTCACTTACCATCTTAGATATAGATGTTATGAAAATAAGATTAAGCATAAGCCATATGAGTTGGGTAGGAAAGAATGAACCATGAGAGTTTTTCTTAGTATGTATACACTAGGGCCAAACCATCTCATTAGCAATGGGCAAAAATTATTTGAAATATAAATGATTGCCTTAAAATTTTTTCTCAGGAATACAGTTTAATGTATGTAGTAAAACCAAACCATGTGAAATGTATCTCAAGTTTTGTTCACCACAGGCTCATATGGCAAGGGAAAAGAGTTACTTTTGTTGATTTAAGCCTCCAAGAATCAAATGCCAAGACTGAGTTGGAAGTATGAGATGTACCCAGGATTATACGTATGGTATATTATATATTAACCACTGTGGTATAATATGTGGGAGCGGGAGAAGGCAGAGAAAGCCTCTCCACTGTGAGGCTCTGCTCACCTGTGAAAGGGGGAGAGGTAAGAAGATTGTCTGGGAAAGTCAGTCAGCCCAAGGGGGAGCGGCACATCTCCATGGCTACCACAATACACAATTACACAAAAGGCTCTCTAGATTCTTAAATGGACAGTGGAATCAATGTTTTATTCCAAACTTCACAATTGAGGTCGGACATCACAGGGTTAGTATTTCTTCTACAATTGGTTTTAAGCTATGATTAAAATATGTGTTATTGAAAACTGTAACTCGTTTACAATATATCATACATATTTTGCTGATGATTAAAATAAATTTTAATTTTCCACATTTTTAGAGAAGCTACAGGGAAAATAAAATTATTTCATTTGATAGATACCATAGTTTCTATCATAAAGAAAAGGTATTTTGATTCTATTTGAATTTTTCTCTTATCTGTCCAGTGACTTATACATCCTTCACGCTTTCAGGATGAGTATTTTCTTACCGGAAAAATATAAGATCCAATTACACTGACCTATCTTTGCAAAAAATTTATTGAGTTTTTTACAACCAAATAACAAAAAGAGCCATTTCTTTATAATACGAGTATATTACATTTGCATAGTGTCTGTGATTGTCAAAGTACCAATATAATCTTTCCAATATGCTTGTGTGATG